TGCGTCCGCTTCAGGCTGGGTTGATTGAACTGTGTATTTTTAATTCTGGAACACTTCAGGCCAACTTTATATTCCGAAAACTTCAAATCAACTGGTTGATTTCGACAGTCGGCGGGGTCGGCTTCAACCCGCTTTGTGTATATCCTCCTTTCAACTGGGTGGTCTGTACCGGGTAGGGATGCAAGCTTCCTGAGCTACCGAGTGCTATATAACAGTATTATTCGATGACTTTGAACATGCCCGAGATCGCCGAGGGATATCGAACCACATTAATAATGTAAGTGCGGGAAGGAGTACTGGTGTTCTTGCTCAAGGGTGGGCGACTGGGACTGTTTCTGTTGCCAATTTCAAAACTATGCTAGCAGTCCGATATGTTTGTGAGCTACTGGAATGCGTAATTGAATGTGATCAGTTCAAGTTGAACTTGAATTCGAACATCCGTGAATCGAATGGACAGTAATAGTAAACAGTAGCTCTGTATTCGGTGTATCCAGAGGCATTGCGACTGGGGATGAAGCGGTATTGAAATGAAATTACACATGCAAGAAAACAAAGTCTGTAAACTTTCAGCAGCCAAAGTGCCATCAGATCGTTTCCAGCACTCTTCCGGACAAGGTTGGAAGCTCGGCGGTTCAAGCGTTATGTGACCTCAGAAAGAAAGGAAATAACGGAATATGTCATTAATTACTCGAATTGCAGAAGGTCGCATAGTTCGGCGTCGGCGGGCGATGAATAAAGAGGGGCCACAAATCCTTCGCAAGCACTAAAAGTCTAGCCTTAGATGAGCGACGGCTATAGACCGAATCTGAATGAACGAAACAATGATCACTACTAGCCGGAATCGTCTGGTTGAACCAATCAACAGCTTGCCAGAACGCCTTGTCGAATCCTTCACATCCGCATACGCGAAATTAGGGCGTCGTGCGCCGAAGCCATGACCGCATATTCTCCTTTGTCAAACAAGGCCTAGGCAGATCACCCTCCTGTTGGCAAATTTGGCGACAGAATCCTGCCATATAATCTCGAGCTAGTCTCTTATAAACAGACGGTACAACAATTTTTGAGCTCGTACCTCGCTTTGTTGTAATCTCGAGCTGGTTGGTCGCCAGAAGGTATAAATATGTTGGGCATCAAGCTGTCTAATTCTACCTATCTATCGGCGCCTTCCTCGGTGTGTCATAGCTGGCCGGATAGTAATCCTGGAGCTTCCTGATCTGTTCGGATTGGGGTCAACCACCGTATTTGGATCATGATAAAATGTGTACGGACCTTTGATGAATAGGCGCGGAAGGGTGACCAATTGGTGACGAATCTGCGCCACTATCTCATGGATATCCCCATTCGATATCACCTGCGCCTTGATGTCCTGTAGATCGCTGCTCATTTTTTGCCACCACGTTGCGAAATTGTTAACGGACTGAATAACGAGCGCTATTTTCTCTTCAATATCCTCCAGCCCGAGAATTGTGTCCTGATAATTAATGATGTGCTTCCTACGATCTGTAACCAATTAACGGTGCTTGAAATGTTATGCCGGATACCGCTTACTCTCAATCGCGAAGTCGGCGACTACCTTGACGCCCTTTGCCATGATCCTGGCAGGGATGATTGCAACAGGGATGACAACCGGAAGAATAATGCCAACGCGAGACACAGCTCCAATTGTCGCGATGGCAATCTTCGCGCTATCACTGTGCTCAATTATCAAAGTCGCCCATCTCTCGGAGATGCCCCATGTCGCCAAGGTTCGCCGCGCAGCCTGCTCTTCTCGCTCGAGAACATCCTTCTGTCGAGGAATACGCTCCGACTCCTAAGTCTGGAATGAGTCCCAGGCGATACTAACCACTGAATCACAGTACGTACTCTTATTAATTGTTCCCGAACATCAATGAATCGAGCGAGGGTTTTCTCGACGTCTTTCTGCACATGCGAAACTTCGGTCTCCATGCGCTTGAGGATATTTGTGACGGGCATTTTCGTTTCGAAGGCATAGCAAAGGTCAATGGCGTGTTCTGAAAATACGATGCCTTTATCGCCACAGTTGATGCTCATGTCAATGGCGTCAAAATAGCACTGGGCTTGCTCCGTCAAATGGGCCATCATGCCGCGTATAATACGGGCATCCTTTCGGGATCTAAAAATAATAGATCTCAGTACTCGAGTAAATACTATGAGAATAAACGAACGCCGCAAGGCACCATGGTTCGAGTAGCACAAAGGCGTCCACAGCTGAGTCCACTAACTCTTGGATACCAATAGCGACGAGGTAGGATGCATCTTCTTCTGGCGAGGCCATTATATCCATGTGAGTAGTGTATGTTGAATCCAAATGTTCATCAACAACGCCATCGTTCTCTAAAAGTTCGCCCTCGTAAATGCAAGGGCTACGGTGCAATAATCAGCGTTGTATGCACAGGATTATGAACGACTTACACTGCAATATTCACCTGCGCTTCCTGATACACCGTTCGCAAGATATTCTCGAACGTGCTACTCGTAGCGAAGGCATAGGCATGCGGCAGGAGATCGCTAGATCGTGGCCTGCCAAGATACTCCTCGATACTTCCCCTTGGCCTTCAAGAGAACCGTGTAATCAGCACAATCACCCGTCTTCATAGCTTTCTTCGTGAGAGGTCTATTGCCTCGTTTGCGAGGTAGATTGATTTTCACAGCGAGTGGGCGGTTGACGACTGTAGCATACAATTAGGACGCGTTGTATGTCGGTACAGTGCCTGCTTGTTCCTGATTGGGACCTCCGCAGTAATACATCCTTCCTTCCTTCCTTCCTTCCATAGAAATTCAGTTCTTACCGAGAAAAAGTTTGGACATGATACTTGCCCCCTCAATATGTGCAGGAATTTGCGGAATCCATCATACCAGGGTTGGGCGTAATGCTCTTTATCCAGTTTTCTGAACCAACTTAACAGACCAGTAAGGACAGCAGTCGCAAGGAGGTCAACCCCATCATAATCGAATGGTGGGTCGGATTCGTCAATATCAATAGGCCCCAGTGTAAGGATGTCGGCCCCGATGTCCTTCAGGATGCGAACCATCTCAGAACACAATTTGTTGGCAACGTCAGAATGCACATTCCCCATGTCCAACCAAAATCCAGGCAAATCGAGAATCCCGTTGAGATATCGAATGGAGAGTGCACCGCAGATGCTCAAAGTTCCACTTCCATTTTCGAGTCAACGCTAAACCAACGAAGAAATCTACCACTCACGCGGAATCGTGTTCAATTAAGAGCCGTTCGATCACACTGAGACCTCCTTCGTCACAGCTGGTCGGCTGTAGAATACTGCTATCCTCCAATAAGGTTGAAATTGGCGTATTCGACAAGCAAGTGGTGGCCAAGCTTTCACTGCGTTCAGACCCCCCTGTAGGCACAGGTCTGCCAGATCCTGATAGGCAGATGTGTAGGCAGACCAGTGTGCCAACCCTTGCCCATCCATCTGCCCATCCCTGCCGAGGTTGGTCTAGGTATTCCCACTGGATTAGGCACACATAGACTCACGTGGGCCGATGAGCCTAGCTAAGCCTAGTTTCAAAATCTGACATGGTTTGTACCCGTCCAGCCATTCCAACCAACACCAACCTAGACCCAGGTCGGCCAAGGTTGACCAAGGTTGGCCAAGATAGACACGCCACTGTTGGCGAAGATCTACCAAGGTGGGCAGGCTTTGCCTCGGTAAGGATGCTAGACCAATGTCGGCCGATGCCTATTAGGGTAGACCAACGTCGGCTTGGGTGGGCAGTCCGTAGGCGGGGATCGGTGAAGGTGGGCACATCTGTGCCTATGGGGGGTCTGAATGCAGTGTTTGCCAAAATTTCCATTCTTCGTCGGGGGGATAACCAGGACGGTCACAAAGTGGGGAAATCATATCCATCGACATTGCGCTTTCCATACACTTGGCACGGAGAAAATGCACCCGGAGAGCAGGAAAGAGAGCGACCAGATCCACAATATATTTGAAGGCCTGAAACTGTGTTTTGGCAGACTCCGTGCTGCGGGTATAGGTATTTAGTCAGATCTCGAACGCCAAATGGAACACACGCATGGCAGTGTAAATTCCATCAACCTCCAACAAATTTTCTCAAGTTTGTCAGGGATTGAACTGCGTAAGAGGTCCAAATGCTGAACCCTTTCTTCGCCCTTTCCGAAATGGGATCTAATTTTCTGGGCCACGACGTGAGGGCCTAGACCCAAGCCGTATGCAGCACGATTGGCATGCGTCTCGAGGATCTTGCCCGAAGAAGTGTAGAACTGATCCAAAGTTCGGCCTGGAGAAAGATTCAATGACGAGCCCAAGAGAAGAGCCCAATTTCTGTGGGGTTCCGAAACCGGTGAATCTTGCGGCTCTATAACTGCCCTGTCCGTATAAAGAATGACAGCATTGGAGACATTATTCGACGCCATTCCAAAGAGACGGTAAAGTTGGAGCTGTGCGTATGAGAGTAATGGTGTCTGTGCGAGCAAATACTGCTGTATGCCACATTACCATGCGGCAGCTAAGATTAGCCGATATTGATCCTCAGCATTCTTGGTGTCGGCGTGCGTTGCTCAGAGTCTACGTCGTCATTGAATGATCGAAGGCAGTTCATGACCAGCTGAGCCCATTTCTTGTCAAGTAGTATATACTACATACATGGCATCCAACCGAGTCCGGCAGGATGATTTACGCGCCAACACGACAGGGAGTCCAACCGCCAGGCTTCGAGACCCGCGCAGCAAGGCATGTCTCAGGCGTGTTGTGAAGGGCAGTGAGGCGCAAGTGCACAATGCATACCATAAAGTCATCAATGCAATGAAGTCCTGCCAAAAAATGATCGTACTTGATTTCACTTGAGCCGACTTGAATTGGCCGATAAAGACCCCAAGTGACAAGTGAAAATATAGAGAACCGGAGCTCGACGGGACCCGAAACCAACTGGCCGCCAGTGAAGCATAGTTCAGAAAACAAAACCCAAAAAAAAAGAAAAAACAAGAGTTCATGGTATGATCTGACCCGGAATCGAACCGAGGCCTTGATTTCTACTTCACAGATTCGCTCACATACTATCAGCAGACGCACTAAGTTCTAACCGACTGTGCCACCAGATCATTTACTTTTCTGACCCGAGCTATGATCGCGAGTCGTTGAGTCGGCAATAAAGTCAAACCTTGAAAAACAGCTGCAGCTGACGAGTGATCTGACCCACTAGCACAATCGAATTGGGGACTTTTGGTTGAAATTCTACATGGACTTTACTTTGAGTACAGCAGATGCAACTGTACGAAACTGAACATCAAATTTCAACTTCAAGTTTCATGATTGCCAAAAATTAAATTAAACTGGAATGAATCCGTCTGCTGTCTTTCTGCCCAATACATAGGCCTTCCAATTCATCGTTCCCACCCCGTGGACGCGGCCCGCGTCTGGCAGGGTTAATTGAACTGTATATTTTCAATTTTGGAACACTTCCGAAGTCGGGGACATGGTATATTCCGAACACTTCGCCAACTGGTTGATTTCGACAGTCGGCAGGATCGGCTTCAACCGGATGATTTTTACAGCTGAGAGGTGGGGAGACAAGCGTTCAGATTCCGGAGCTAATCCCAGGGTCGAGTGTTATTTTACAGTATTTATTCGATAATTTTGAACATGCCCGAGATCGCCGAGGGATATTGATAATTGAACTACACTGCTGGAAGTGGACTGGTGTTCTTGACCACGGGTGGGCTGTTGGAATTCTGTTGCCAATTGCAAAGCTATGCTAGCGGTCCGACATATTTGTGAACCATTGAAATGTGCATGATCAATTAATTCCACGTAAACCTGAATATGATCCCCAAATCACGGACAGTACAAGTAAAACAATAGCTTCAAAAATCGGTTTAAAGCTATATCGAGAGGCATTGTTACTCCGAGTCTGGGGACGTGTTATTTAAACAAAAAAGGAGTTCGAGATAGATGTATGACCTGACCCGGAATCGAACCGAGGCCTCCTGCGGAAATCAAGGAACTTAAAAACTTTGAGCAGACGCACTAACCAGCTGTGCCATCAGGTCGTTTCTGACTTTATTCAACTTCAACGTCCTGACCTCCAATCAAACCAGAGTCTGCTGCGAAAATAAGAAGGTTGAAAATGAAGAACGGGAGCCTGAGGTTCCAGACTCGGGATGAGCACTGCTGCAATCGTAAAACCAAAACAGCTACCAATCAAATCAGGGACTTTTTGGTTGAAATTTTATACAGGGACCGTACTTGACATCTACTCAAACCAGAATGTGCGAAGCTGAACATCAAATTAATATTTGAGCATTATGATTGCCAAAAAAAAAAAAAAGGTAAACTGGAATGAATCACTTCAGTACATAGGTCCAAAAAATATAGCTCGAGACTCGAAACCAACTGGCGGATGCAAAGTTCAGAAAACGAAACGGACAAAAAAAAGATTCTATGAGTCCCTGGCATGACCCGACCCGGAATCGAACCGGGGCCTTCCGCTAACAAATGCGTGACAGACCCACTATGAGCAGAAGCACTAACCAACTGTGCCATCAGGTCGTTCGCAACTTTGTTCAACTTCAATGTCCTGACCTCCAATCAACCGGCATCCGCTGCGAAGTTGAAAATGAAGAACGGGAGCCTGAGGTTCCAGAAGCACTGCTGCAATAGTAAAACCAAAACAGCTACCAATTGAATCGGGGACTTTTTAGCTGAAATTTTACACATGGACCTTTGAGTAGATGTCAACCAGAATCTGCGAAGCTGAACATCAAATTAAATATTTCAGTATTATGATTGCCGAAAATAAAACAGTAAACTGGAATAAGTCATTTCAGTAGACCCAAAAAATACAGAGAATCGGAGCCCGAGACTCGAAATTAACTGGCTGATTCAAAGTTCAGAAAACGAAACAAAAGAACTACGGAATTTACGTAAGACCTAACCCGGAATCGAACCGGGGCCTTCTGCGGAAATACGGAGACTCAACAACTTTGAGCAGACGCACTAACCAACTGTGCCATCAGGTCATTTCTAACTTTATTCAACTTCAACGTCCCGACCTCCAGTCAAACTAGAATCCGCTGCGAAAATAATCAGGTTGAAAATGAAGAATGGGGGCTTCGAGGAGGACGGTGATAGTAAAACCAAAACAGCTACACTGCAGACCTACATACAATGGAATGTTGAAATTTTACACATGGACCATACTTTGAGTAGATGCACTAACCAACTGTAGCACTGGATCTGAACATCAAAGTAATATTTTAGCATTATGATCATTGCCCCCCCCTCCAAAAAGGTAAACTGCAATGAATCGGTTCACAGGAATCCAGTAGGTCCCTAGTCTCCCGCAGTCAGACTCTACAAATTTTATGATAGTCGATAAAACTTTATATAGAGTCTGATTTTATTGGCATAGCCGAAGCCGCAAGTCGGATTTCCGTGATCACTGAGTGACTACACGTGATATTCCCACGCTCCCATTCGGGACAGACCACTCATTCTCAGTATTTCATGGTAATGCAAAGATAAAAGGGCATTTATATGAATGTAGAACCATTCTATTGACGTCTGGATGGTTGGTACACGTTAAAAACATGGATATTTATCTTGGAATGCGATATATTATGGTTTGGAGCATAAAATGCACATTGTGCATTCGAAACTGCTCAGATAAATTTGTACCGCGCGATTTGAAGTTTTCAGTACCTAAGGAATTGATCTTGGTTGTAAATTAGGTCGAAGGGTCAATGTGTGGGCAAGAACTGGGAGGGCAATGTGGGGGAGTGTTGTTATTGCCCGTCGTTAGCAAACAAGCTGGACGCGTCTTCCACTTTGACGCGACCAAGCGTAAAGCGCTTGGTCGTGTCAAAGCCCTCCTCACCTCTCTCGCTTTGACTCCAGTATATAGAGCCCGCGAGCGTAGGAGAGACTCATCGTCTCACACTGCGCTTGCAGGTAAGCCTCCTCTCACATCTACTTACATCGTCTCACACTGCGCTCACAGCTTATTTAGCACTCCTCACGTCCTACTAAATATTTTCCACCCCGTTTTCACCACGGCCCACCGGAACCAATTCCGGCTGAACGGTCGCTTCGCTTCACGTCCGCCACAGTCGCCTCCTCCGGACGCGCCACTCCATACCAATCCTCCGCCGTCTCCCCGGACGCCTCCCCCTCTGTTCCGCGAGATCACTCACCCCGCTGGCACGCCACGACACACAACCATGTCCGACGAAGCCGGTCCTAGCAGTCTCCCGCCTGTCAGCAACGCCACCGAGCAAACCTCGGCGGACCAGCGGCTTGCAAAGGTGGAAGCACAGCTCGCGTTGCTTCTCACGGCACTGCAGACCTTGCAAGCTGGCGCCACCGCTGCGCCCCCTGTGGTCCAGACGCCGCCGCAGCAAGACAGCAACCCCCCGCCACTCGTGGTTACGCCACCAGTGGCTGCGTCGCAATTCACCGCCCCCATTGCACCGCTCAACTCTCCTGCAGGTGCGTCACCGTCCCTTCGCTCCCTCTTCCCCGACATCGAGCTGGCATGCATTACCGCGGTCATCACACACGAACTCAAGGCTTCGGACCTGTACAAGCTGGACGTGCAGGTCAAGGACTCCGAGCCCACCTACAGCCTCAGCGTGACGGGCACCTTTGAGATGAATGTGTCGAAGCACAAGGCATACAAAAACCTCAACTCCATTGTCTTCCCCATGCACGTATACTTTGCGATCCTCACCGCTCACCTCCCGTGCTCCGCGGCAACGGTTGTAAGGCTTCAGGAGCACTCACGAAGGGGTAATCGTCGTACGCTTGCCCTGGCAGGGTGATTGGCCTTATATTGTGTGAAAGACCCTAGGTAGACGGTCTAGCTCTTCGGGAGACTACCAGGAGACAAATATTTGTACTCTCTGAGTCGTAGACTCCCTAGATCTCTCGAATATTCAAGAGAACTGAGCAGAAGGTCTTATCGTAATCCGGCGTGAAGTAAGTCGTATAATTCGTAAGTATATCAATATAGTCGCCTAGTGCCTAGTGTGTAGTGCCCAGGCTAGGCAAAGATACAGCCTGTGCCTCTATCAATGCCTCGGAGTAGCTCGACGAGGGTTGGAAGGCTGGTAGGCTGTAGTGGTTTGTGGTAAAAGATAGATAAGATCAGGTGATCTACCATACATGTGACTTGTAGCTAAAGAGTAACTAAAATAGGTAAAAACATATAAATGGTTCCTTACAACGGTGTACTTCTACCGCTACCTCTCCCATCTCACCACACTTGCGACGGATTATGAATGGGCAGCCGTATTTGAATACCACACACTGTTCTTCAACCACCGCTGCAACGACATGCTTGCAGGCTCATATGATGGGTGGGCGACATCGGACATCGGGCTGCTCAGCACCTATGTCTATCCTCATTGGAAGCAAATCAACCCAGCAGTGAAACCACCCAAGAAGACCACCTCCATCACAGGCACGGAGCCGTGCCGCAACTTCAACGCCGGGAAATGCGAGACCCCATGCGCTTGGAAGCGGCCCCATGTCTGCTCCTCGCCGGGATGTGGGAAGGACCACCCACTCATGCTGCACAAGTAGGGCCCCGGCCAGACGTGCAGCACTTCCATGTCACCATCGCTACCACGTCGCGGCCACCCCATCGACGTCCCCGTCTCCACCGGCCTTATCGCACCTGCTCCCCCTGCCCTACCCCATGCCTCCTCTTTCCCGCCACAACCACTTCCCCCCTCGCGCCCCAACACCGACCCCCGGGTCAACGCCGCCCCCGCCGTCACCGCCCCTTATCCAACAGTCTCCTCCATCCTCAACGAGGACGCTTGGTCTTATTATCTACGTGATTACCCTGACAGGCATTTTGTATCATCTCTAATACACATAATTCGCCACGGCGCCAATCTGGGTTTCACAGGTGATAGAACCGTCAGTCAATTGTGCACAAACCTCAAATCCGCCTTCAGCTCACCAGCTGTCACCGCCGCCCTCTTCGCCGATATCACCGCGCAAGTTGCCAACGGGCGCACTGCCGGCCCGTTCCTCGACCTGCCGTTCGGGAATTTTCGTTGCTCACCGCTCGGAGCAGTAACCCACAAACGATCCGCCAAAATCCGCCGCATCCACCATCTCTCTTGGCCACGGATCGGCTCCGTCAACGAAGGCATCCCCGACGAGGAAGCCTCAATCCAATACGATATGATTGATCACGCAATCGCTGATATCGTCTGTGCCGGCCGCGGTGCCCTGCTGATTAAGCTCGACCTCGAGTCTGCTTTTCGCCACGTCCCCGTACGACGTGCTGACTGGCATCTCCTGGGTTTCACCTGGGAGGACCAGTTCTTCTACGACATCGTCCTCGGCTTCGGTTGCCGCTCGGCACCGTATATCTTCAACCTCTTCGCAGAGGCACTCCATTGGATCCTCCAGCATCACCTACCGGCTGTGATCTGTCACTACCTCGACGACTTCCTGAAGATCTTCGCGCCCCACACTCCTCGGCCCCTGGTCCAGCAAGCCCTCGAGTGGACCCTCGCTCTTGTGGAGCAGCTCGGCTTGCACTTCCAGCCAACTAAAATCTGCGGCCCGAGCACGTCGCTCACACCGAGCTGCTAGAGGCCCGGCTGCCTGCCGAGAAACTCGGCTACCTCAACGAACTTCTCGACGAGTGGTCCCACCGCACACACGCCACCCTCCGCGAAGTGCAGGAGCTCACCGGTTTCCTGCAGTTTGCGTCGCAGGTCATCCCAATAGCCCGTGCCTTCCTGCGCGGGCTGTACGACTTCGAATGGGAATTCACAACACCATTCTCACGCCGACGCCTCTCCAAACCCGCTCGCCGTGACATCGCTTGATGGGCAATGTTCGCGAGGGAATGGAACGGCATCCGCCTGATTTGCCCGCAGCGCCGCACGCTGCACGTTTACACGGACGCCAGCGGTACCAAAGGTATTGGGGGGTACTTTGGAACCCACTGGTTCTCCGTCCGGTGCCCGCGCTGCTATCGCAAACAGCACATCCAAGTCAAGGAGATGCTTGCTGTTGTGCATGCTGTCTTGTGCTGGGGGGACGACTTCCATGGCACACATGTCATCTTCCACATCGACAACGAGGCCGTGCACAATACCATCACCAACTTCTCAATACGCTCCGCGCCAACCTGTTATATCCGTGCACACACACCCCCGGCCCCCGGCCGGTATTCTTCCCTTTGGCCGGACTCGACCGGCCGTCCTTCCGGACTTCCGGCAACCGGTCGACCCGGTTGCCGCTCGGAACGGGTTTTTACGCAATGAAGGATTACTGAGCGTTTCCCGTTTATCCGTATGTCCATACGATTCCAACTTCCAGTTTTAGATGTCGCTTTGTCCGACTCGAACTTCTATCTCCTAATTTGGACTTTGCTTTGATACTACTACTTATAGTAGTGACACGTATGTCTACATATTTAAGCCCTATGTACTATGCTGTATTCTTCAGTTTGATAATTAACGTGCTTAGCCTCATATCCTCTGCTTGGCTCCTTGAGTCCTCTCGTCCGGACTTCATCCGGACGTCTACCCTTATCCTCTCCGCTCGATTGGCCAGATAGTAACGCTCACCCTATACACCTCTTTTGTGGTGCTTGCGTCTTCCCTAGGCCGACCGGTCATCTTGTTATTATCCAGTACTTTCTTCCAGTAACCGGTTTCCGAACGACCGGCCGGCATCCGGTCATCCGACCTCGACTCGGGATATAACAGTATTATCAAACTCACCTATCTCGGCTGATTCATGTCTCATTACAGTGATCACACGCTTCCTGGCACGTCCTCTTCGGCTCGTGGTCAGCGTGATCCACGACGCACTTCTCGGCTCTTCGGCCAAATCGTTCCTCTTTCCCCTCCGGCCCAGACTCTTGGAGCGGCTCAGCCCACTTCCACGTACTTGGCTGGTCCCATTTCTAGTCCGATTGCTCCCGGCGTTACTATTCGCCGGTCGATGCCTGATCGTCCTACTGTCGTTCCGGTCACTGTTCCGGGTC